AGTCATTGTGTTCTCCTGGCGGGGAGCGGGGGAAGCTGTTCCTGCCAGGAGAACTCAGTTGGTAACAGCTATAACAGCTGCTTGCAATAATCACATGTAAAATCCAGCAGGTTGGTTGAAGATCAATCATCTTGGGTATTTTCAGCCTGCCCATACATAGTTCCTGCTGAAGCGGCAGAGATTTGGTCTATGGCCCGGCTTAAGAGTAATCTTTTACAGGCTGCTACCGCCTTTATGTTCGTGTCTGTGTAGCGACAGGGTCCCTTTGTAGTACAAGTCCAACAGACTTGTTTCAGGATTATCTATAGCAGTTTATCTATCTAAGTGAAATAGAAACTGGTGTGGGATCTGCAGATTGGACCAGGCACACAGGATTTGACCTGCCAGTAATTTCAGAGACAACTCACATGCTTCTCTCTGCCCATACAGTGAAATCCAAGGAACAAAGGTATTACCGTTCACTCAAACAATCCGGATCAATCCAAGACAGGTGCAGACTCTGGCTCGCCACCATGTAGTGCAATAGGAAGAAAGGTTAGCCGCACACCGGAGGTCTCGTGCTTAATTATGGTGGTTATGATTAAGCATGAAACCCTGTGAAACGCGTTAACAAGTCCTGTATACATGTCCTGGTGTTTCATGTGTCCTATGGATCAATAAATATTCACTATATTCATCAATCCTCAGGTGTGCGGCTAACTCTTCTTCCTATTGCCCATGCAGTGAACACAGTACACAGACAGAGCCTATATGTATGCAGGGAAAGTTCCTTTCCTTGCCTATATGCCTGGTTGCCAACCCTGAAAATACAAGCTTAGCAGTCTTTTCACCTCACTCTCAGTTGAGAAAGTGGGGGTGGTGGGGTTGGACAGAGGAAGCTGGAGCAAGCTTTCCTTCTCTCTATGCTATCGCTAGTGCATAGAAAACTGAGTATTGTCACTCCTAAGTAACAAGAGTAAGTGCATTTAGAAGAGTGGTGCAGGCTTTATGCATGTGCCACTCTTTCCTAATTTACCCCCCCCCCCCCCAGGTGCTAGCATGCTTGAGGATTGTTCACACCACATTAGTTGAGCTGCATAGATCAATACAATCCCAATGCCAGAACACAGAGAAATCTATTGTTTTCCCTGTTCTCACCATGACTCTGCGTTGAAGTCAGGGGCGGACTGACAACTCATGGGGCCCTGGGCAATAAGAGATCATGGGGCCCCTGTGTCCTCACTCACACTCAAACCACACCCAAAAAAGCCTATGAAAGGTACCAGGGGCATCTCATGGGGCCCCCTACTGACCCCGGCACCTTAGGCAGTGCCCGAGTTCCCAAATGGTCAGTCCGCCCCTGGTTGAGGTGGGTTGTGCTCATACACGATGTACACCAGCTCACACGCCATACATTACATTTTTTGTTTAACCCTATCCCTTCTGGTCTGGGATTCTATAGTTAGTGTTAGCTCAGGGCTCAATAACCAGCATATGCTAGAGCCAGACTAGGCATCTGATGACCACTTCTGGTAGTGAATTAGATTAGGTGCTGCTACTAGGGACTAAGTGCAGAGTAGATAGGCTGACTCTGAGTTCCAGTGTCACACCACAATTTCTTCTGGAAAAAAGCTGCGTTACAGGCTGGTTGGACAATGGCTGGAGCAATGCAGCACTGCAGATCGTCTTGAGGTCTCTGACACCAAGATGAACGCTGGATCCTGATCATCCTTAGGGGCTCCTGCAAATGAACTTTGCTGTAACAGTAAACTGGGGGTGTCACGGCACCCAGCTTCACCCTCTGCTTCCTGCATGCCCCCACCTCTCCACACCACATACATGCAGGAAGCCATGCATCTGTTCCCTGACCCCCACACACTGCCCTCACCTTTCTATACACATCCCTGCTACCCTAGGCCATGGCCTAGATTACAGATGTCTGTTCCTGCGTACTCCATGTACCCTTCAGTAGACATATTGAGGTTGATTTAGGGGCTAGAACCTTCATATAAAAAGTGTTTGAACATCCAGATTATCCAATCATGTGACAAGCAGATTCCCATTTTCTTATGTTCATTTAGTAAATCAGCCCAATATGAGCTTATTATTTCATTACCTAGTACATTTTGCACTGTTTCCCTTTGAACCATTCACTTACTGAATATAACAGTTACTTCATAATTTCAAATATTTACAATTAATCTTCCTTATGTGACCCAGAGACAGCCAGCGGTAACTGGAAAGCACCAGAGGGAGCACTAGGCGATAATGAAATGATATCTCTGGTATGTGATCACATTTGTACTTCACTCAGAATTCCCATGGTAATGTGCATTGCTTTATTTAGGGGGATTCACATTTATCTCTACGGGGATGAGAATTTAAACGAAGCAGAAATGAGTTGAATGTCTATAGTGCACCATCTGCTGGTAGCTGGGAATGTTACACAGATAATTTTAGTGTCAAGGTCACACACTTTGATTTTTCTTTTATCCAGTTGATGTGTTAATCAAACAAAACAATCAAATCCACCATCTACGAAAAGCCAAAATATTCTTCCAATTTCGTCTAGATTGATGAAACTAAGTAGATCAGCTAGGGCAAAATATTATTGATTGTTTTGCATGAATTGGCAGCAGTGAGATACTTTGAAAACAATCATATTTCAATCAGTCAGATGTTGAGATTACATGGTGGAAACAGAGATGCAATTGTTAAAGTGGTTGTAAACCCTTACATATACCCTGTGAAGGGACTATCCGCAGGTGATAAACAGAGATGAAACAAATCCTCCTACATAAGTTGTACCTGTTTATCTGCAGTCTTCTCTTCCCTACATCTGTTCAAAGTGCTGAATGTAGAAGCTTGTGTGAGAGTTGAGAAAAAAGAGGGCCAAGAGCTGAAGTTACACTCTGCAGAGCGCAGTGAGGAAAGCTCTGAGAGCTGATTGGAGGGCAGAGACATACTTCCTTCACACAGCTCACAGGAACAGAGCTGAGGCTGTCAATCTGTCACCATTTTTCTCTTAGTGTCAGGAAAAATTATCAAAAGTGATTCATGATGACAGCAGAGGAACGAGGCAGCTCTCCTCACGCGTTGTCAGCATGAGGAGAGGACTGCCGATAACCGGCATATCCTGTTTACATGTGATCAGCTGTGATTGGACACAGCTGATCACATGGTAAAGAGCCTATGTCATTGGCTCTTTACCAAAATCAATGATTCACTGGGTCCTAGGGACACAGCTCACTACCGACTCACCATCTTAGCCCCGAGGGCGCGTGTCAGGAATGGACTCACCGCTGGTGGTGCTGGGGCTCATCTGCCATGTGGGCTGCAGTACCGGTGCTTGCCAGCGGGTGCTTTCAGCAGCCAGGATCTCACTCCTGCATTCAAGCCATCACCTGAGGCTGATTGCAGGAGGTGTATTTAAGCAGGACCAGGCCTGCAATCAGCGCCTTGGTGTTGTTTCCCATAAGCCCCTGTACCTGGTCCTGTCATCTGCCTGCCTGCCTGTTTCTTCTGCTTGACTCTGACACTGATTGAACTCTGCATGCACTGACCTCGGCTATTCCTGACCTTTCTCCTGCCTGCTCCTTTTGTACCTTGTCTGCCCGATTGTTCCTGACCCGGCCTGCCTGACCACTCTACCTCTCCAGCCTGACTACTTCCCTGTGTCAGTCCACACACCCCTGGTCATACTTAGATCCCTGACAGCGCGCATGCGCAGCTAATAGTTACACAATCCAATTTGCACCTGCTGGGAAAAAAAAAGCTAATGTAGGAGGATATCAAATGACATCCTTCCAGAACAAGAGAGCTCTGGCCCGTCATTTTCCAATATGGCGGGTGGGAAGCAGTTAAATGAAAAATGTATTTTTTAAAGCACCCCTGGCAACCGAAAAAAGTTGAGAAGGAATGTCCTTGCAATACAAGAACTTCTATACTTGCCTCTCCCATAACTTCCTCTGTTCCAATGCTGCAACCTCTGTGACACAGCATTCAATACTTCTGAGAATGTTAGATGCCTTTGCCCCCTTGCCACCCCCATGGTTCCCCCTCCTGATGTTTACCTGACCAGGGGCGGACTGACAACTCATGGGGCCCCCGGGCAATAGGGGATCATGGGGCCCCTGTGTCCTTGCCCAAACTCAAAAAAAGCCTATGAAAAAGGTACCAGGGGCATCTCATGGGGCCCCCTACTGACCCCGGGCTCTCGGGCAGTGCCAGAGTTTCCAAATGGTCAGTCCGACCCTGTACCTGACTGCTGAGTCCTGTAGTGGATCATTGGATGGAGCCACAAGAAATGGTGGGGGACAAGGCATCCAACACACCCAGATGTAACAAATACTGAAAAATCTCATAGAGGCTGCAGGTGGTAGAAGACATTGGTCATCACGGAAGTGATTACAAATACCTTTCTATTGTAGGAACCTACAATGAATGGAGCAGTTGAACAGAAAGGGCGAGCATAGTTGGGTAGGCTTGATGACTGCCTATCACAGCTCCTTTTGAGTTTTAATAAACCCCGCTGCACTGGAAGATTAGGGGGTGGAGGGCAATCAGAGGAGGAGGATTTCTGCTAAACCAGGACATTGTAGCACAAGGGACACATCCCACTAAAGGTAATCTCCCTTGTAGTGATTGAAGTTTTTTTTTGCTTTGCCTTAGGCTTTAAGACAGCTGCACAGTGAATGTTTTATACAGAGACCTTTTAACACAACTATTTACACTAAGCGACTGTGAATTCCTTCTGCAGGTCCAGCTTGACATTTCTACATTGAACAAAAAATGATAATCATATTTTAGCATTGCTAACAATTTCAAAACATTAAAAAATTGTGGGCAAAGGTTTTTTTAATTAAAACAGGATTTGAAGCTGATCAACCCAGGAGCGTTCCCATAGGCCCAAAGATACTTCCTGGTACTGAGTTGATAGATTGCTAGTACAGGCATGCTTTCTGACGTTTTTTTTTTAAACCTTTTCTAGAAAAAAAGTTACAACTTCATTAAAGTGCCCTTTATGGCATGGGTATCTCATTTCTTTCTTCAGGAACAGGAGCTAGATTGCAAGGCTTTTGAGTACTGCGTGCGACTGTGAAGCGACTCATCCTCAAGGCCTCTTCATAACATGGTGGGGTTTCAGGTCCCACAGTCGTCAGCTGAGGTGGAGGACCATGGGAGTGTGACACGGCAAATATCCTGCGAGCAGCCGGGCCAAATACTGACTGCAAAGCTGTAAGCAAAAAGAGATAGAGTTTAAGAGAGGACGCTTTGGCACATTATCAATGTACTATCGATGGAATTTTATGGTAGTTTTAATTGTGCATTTTGTATGAAGATCTCTGCCAAAACCTGCATAAGCATATAGATTATTAGAAGGAGTCATTGAGGAGGTTAGCCAATTATTTATGAACGGTCATATAATATTGTATATTGCCCCACCTTTAACCTTTCCCTGCTGACATTGAATCTTAGTGATCTAAGACTCTAAAACCAAGCGGGAAGGGTATTGCCTAGTTTGAGATTAGCATTCAGGTTCAGTTGTTGGCAACCAGGGGCAGACTGACCATTTGGAAACTCGGCACTGCCCGAGGGACCGGGGTCAGTAGGGGGCCCCATGAGATGCCCCTGGTACCTTTTTCATAGGCTTTTTGAGTTTGGGCAAGGATACAGGGGCCCCATGATCCCCTATTCCCCAGGGGCCCCATGAGTTGTCAGTCCGCCCCTGTTGGCAACACAAGATGACAAGCATGCTTAAAGCTGAGCACCTTGCCTTAAAGCAAAACAAAACCCTTGTATCCTTTTCAGCCAAGGAAGTTGCCATCTTAGCCTCTGTTTGAACTACAGTTGCCATGAATCTGCACATGTGCTCAGTTATGACTCCAGGCATTTGATGGTTTGACAGTTTAGTTGACAGCACAAGCAAATGTGACAATTAGCATTCTCAGCATGCCAGGAATGCAACTGTTTTTTTTTTTAAAAGTGAAATTGTTGGGTTTAGTTCCCCTTTAAAGCTGACTTCCAGCCTTTAACTTTTATTCCTACACTTGTAACAACTGTTCCTCTCCTGTGTTGAAGCTGATTACGCTCAATTTCCCACAATCTTACATCTCCATAATATAACTATGTGAAGTTGTAGCAGCTTTCTTGATCCCACCTTCATTTCCTGTATGACCAACTTCAATCGTCATCATTTCTATCTCCTCCTTAGCCGTATTCTCATTGCCCACCTCCCACAGCTATTGTATTTCTCCATCAATCATTTTGTTCCCTGGCATCCTTTCAGATATGCATGCTCAAAAAAACCTGAAAAATGAATCGACAGATTGCATTTCTGAAATATGCAGCACCCAGTGGTCAGCAGGGAGGAGCATGTACATTTGAAAGCATGCCAAGGATGTATTATTTCATTGTATAGATAGAAGGTTGCTGTAACATTTACAAAGGCTGGCAAAGACCATTAGACCACCCTTCTAAACTGCACATGCTCCTTTTCCCTTCAGTCCCACGCCACTCCAATTGGCCATCAGAAGCAAAGAGAAATACCAAGTACTTCCGGGGATAGAGGCATGTGATTCACTCCCACATGACAGTTCTGGAGCTTGGTGATTGGTAGCTCAGGTCACCAGAACTGTTACATAGGGACAAGAAGAGTCTTAGCCCTGTTTAAGTACATAATCACAACTTGGAACTTATACAGAGTAGGAACTAATACAGACTCGGCCACACAACATCATCAACTGCTAGAATGATGAAAGCCCAGAGGCTGCTGGCGTCCTAGCCAGGGGCGGACTGACCATTGGGAAATTCGGGCACTGCCCAAGGGCGCGGGGCCAGTTGGGGGCCCCATGAGATGCCCATGTTACCTTTTTCATTGGCTTTTTTGAGTTTGGGCAAAGACACAGGGGCCCCATGATCCCCTATTGCCCGGGGGCCCCATGAGTTGTCAGTCCGCCCCTGGTCCTAGTAACCAATTAAGCTCAGCCACACAGCATCCTTGAGACCTTCACATGAAGCAGGACTTGAGACAAATTAATTTACTGTTCATGTTTCTGACTTGTACCTGAATTCTAACATTTACCATATGGTGGCACAGACACTTCTAAAGAGTATCTGCACCACTCTTTGGGCCTCATTTACACAGATGTATGAATTTATGCTTCAAATATGCTTCTGGCAAGTTCTGGCAGAAAAAATGCCTCTAATGTTTTGTACGTATGCGTGTTTATGCGTATATGTACATGCTTGTACACTTATGACGTTGCTCGTAAATGCATTTTGCTGTCCAGAATATTAATTTCTAATCCCTAAATGTATGTGACTTTAAATCAATAACAGCATAAATCAATATACAGAAATACAGTGAAGGAAATAAGTATTTGATCCCCTGCTGATTTTGAATGTTTGCCCACTCACAAAGAAATGATCAGTCTAAAAAGTACTAAGTCATGTTTTGTGAAGGGAATCAAATACTTATTTCCCTCATGAACATGCAAATCAGTGCATAATTTGTTAGACATGCATTTCTTTTGAATTTTTTGTTGCTATTCTGTCTCTCAGTGTTACAATACACCTACCATTCCATTTTTAGACTGATAATTTCTTTGTGAGTGGGCAAACATTCAAAATCAGCAGGGGATCAAATGCTTATTTCCTTCACTGTATATATAAAATCACCAGTATCTGTGATCATGTAAAATCCTGTTGCAGAAAAAAAAATCAATAAAAAGTCCACGTGAGTTCATTAATTAATCAATAAACTGTGTGGGTGCAAACAATCCCGAAAACAACTCTGGCATGTCTCCATGCATTGTGCTGTGTTTCCATCGCCTCATATAAAAAAGCCTCTTACCAAAACTTCAGACCTCAGTAGAATGGAAGTCAACCTGCACTTTGTTATTTCTACAGGACTGGATTGGTAATCAGACATGACTTTATTAACACATGTCCTTCCGGTTTACCAAAACCAATTAATATGCCAACAAACATATGCACAAGGTAAAAAGAGAGGAGAAGCTCATACTATAATATTTAAAATGGCAAATTTAGTAATAAAAGACAGATACTCATCAGCACCAGATAGAAACATGTGCAGTAACGCAGCTCGGCTCCAAACCGCTGGCATGCGTGATGATGTCACCACTATTGCTCTGTGGGAAAAACGTCATTTTTTAATGCCCGTATGCATGACACCTTATGAATTCCAGGTATATGTTCTGCTCAGTACACAGCAAGGAGACGCATTTATCTGACACACCTGAAAGTGTCAGATGTTGAACATTCCACTGAAGGGACTGATAAGTACTATGAATATACTTTTACCACTTTAAAACACTATTATCCCAGGAGGACGTCATATGTCATATGTCACTGTCACAGAGTTCTCTGAATGGGAGAACTGCAACTACCGTCAGCCTTTGCAGCTGACTGCTTGTAGTTTTAAGTGGCCTATCAGAGAGCTGGTGATCACTCTAGGTAGTTCATTGATGCTTCCTGTCAATGTGTAACTGCCTGCCCATATGAGGTATGAGCAGACAGCTTACACTGACAGTCTGTAGGAGCCTTGCATTGCACCCACAATCTGCTGATCGCAGGTGCAATGCTTCACAAGCCCGTAATAAAAAAAAATAATAAATGCACTTTTTTTAATCTTCAAAAAAGATGTGCATTTTTTTTTAAAGGTGAACTTATCCTTTAGGAGACAATGTTTTGTATGTATGAACCCACCTTTTGATTACCAGTAGGAACCAGACCAAGGTTATTTGTATTCCTGAGCATCACTCCCAAGCTATACATTAATTACTGTCCTGATGTCCAGTAATTATTTACACACACTAGGTATTATGTATGCAATTATCAGAATCTGTTTAATGATATTTAATTTATTTATCCACATAATATGATTATATATATTTACAGTCATGCCTGCAGATTACAGTGCAATGTCTGCTTATGAATCACTAATGCCATGTCATCCCTCTACCTGCTGCTGCATACATAATGGCACTGCCTCATAGTAGAGCAAGGAGCAGATAATACACTACTTGACTCACAGGTCATGGTGCTCTGGATGGTGCTGTCGTGGTCAATGGCTATGACTGTAACTTCATAGGGTTGCTCTTCACCCCTCTCAGGGCTGCGCTGCTGTCTAAGATACCAGCACCGAAGGCAGGCACAGGTGATTCCAAACATGAGAAGCAGAACTCCAGCAGTGACAACAAGCCTGGGGTACAAGAAAAAGGAGAGTTAGTGAGAAAGTCCCCAGCACTTAAAGTGGAACTTCAGCTAACACAAGCTTTGAATAGACTAAAGAAATATCACAAACTTTTCTGTGGATTTATTGCTTTCTGTGACCCCATTAGGGAGATTCACCCCTTTTTGTCACTAGGTAAAAAGGGAGAGCTAATTAAATATATGGCAGGATTTATTGCAGCAGCAAGTGAGAGCAGGGGTGTAAATCATTTTCTTTTTCAGGGAGGTTTGCAGCCTTAGGGACCCAGAGGAAACAAAACTATGTGGTATGCCCGCACGCCACAGAAAATTGTGCTTTTGGAGAGGGAAGGGCTTAAAAAGTGAGTGTATATGACACCAAGTGCAGGGGTCAGAAGTTCTTAAGACAAACTTCAGAGGTCAGGAGTGCATAACACAAAGAGAACCGGGGTCAGGAGTGGGTAACACACAGAGTGAAGGGGTCAGGCGTGTATAAGACACAGAGACCAAGGGGTCATGAGTGTATAAAACGTAGAGAGCAGGGGTTAAGCATAATGTACCCAGTAACGCAGAGAGAAGGGGTCAAGAATGCATAATGTACCCAGTACAGGGGTCATGAGTAACACAAAGTGCAGTGGTCAGAAGTAAGTAACACTGAGAGTGCAGGGGTCAGGAGTGCACATCTTACAGAGGGGTCAGGAGTGCATAAGATACATAGTACAATGTTCAGAAAAGTATAAAACACACGTCAGCAGACAGAGTACAACAAAAATTTGCCTCCCTCTTTAAGCCAAAATCCCTGCCCCCTCCACTACAGATTTCCTCCCACAGCAAAACTCTCTTCCCTCAGTACAGCTTCCCCCTCTCAGTACAGCTACCCCCCCAGCATGGCTCCCTCCCTTAGTACAGCTCTCCTCGACTACTGCAGCTCTCCTCCCTCAGTAGAGCTCTCCTTCAGTACAGCTCTACCCCCTCAGTACAGCTTTTTACCTTAGTAGTGCTCCTTACCTCAGTACAGCTCCTTCTATTCCCCCCCACCTTCCCCTGCCTCCTCAGTGCAGCTCCTCTCCCCCTCCCAGTACAGCTCTTCTCCCACAGTACAAAGCCCCCGGTACAGCACAGCTTCCCCCCAAATATATCTCCCCAATACAGGTCTCCCCCCGCAGTATTGTTTGCCCCCCCACAATACAGCTCTCCCTCTCAGTACAGCTCCCCCCAGCCTAGCTACCTCCCTTAGTACAGCTCTCCTCCCCCATATAGCTCCCCCTCAATACAGCTCTACCTTCTCCGTACAGCTCCCTACCTCAGTACAGCTCCATCTATTCCCCCCACATCCCCTTCCTCCTCAGCACAGCTCCCCCCCCCCACCGCATAAAGCTCTTCTCCCTCAGTAACGCTTCCTACTTCTGTACAGTTCAATCTATTCCCCCAAATCCCTCTTGCCTCCTCAGCACAGCTCCATCTATTCCCCCCCATCTCCCCCCTGCCCCCTCAGTACAGCTTTCCCCCCCCCCCCCCCCCCTCCTCCGCCACAGTACAGCTCTTCTCTCTCAGTACAGTACTGTCTCCTCAGTACAGCTCTCCCCCCCAGTACAGCTTTCCTCCCTCAGTACAGCTCTCCCCCCAGTACAGCTTTCCTCCCTCAGTATAGCTCTCCCCCATGACAACTCCCCGCTTCAGTACAACTCCACCAGCAAAATCTTGTTCCCTCATTGCAATTCTCGCCCAACACAGTTCTCCCCCATCATTACAGTTCCCCCCACCACTGCTCTCCCCCCCTCCCAGTACAGCTCTACCTCCTCAGTACAACTCCCCCCAGTACAGCTCTGTCCCCTCAGTGCAGAGATCCCCCCAATACACCCCCCCAGTACAGCTTTCTCCCCACAGTATACCTCTCCCCCCATCACAGCTCTCCCCTCAGTACACCCCCTTCAGTACATCTCCCCCAGTACAGCTCTGTCACCTAAGACCAGCTGTCCACCTTATTACAGTTCTCCCCAGCACAGATTTCCCCATCATTACAGCTACCCCCAGTACAGCTCCCCCCCCCCCATTACAGCTCTCCCCCCTCAGTAGAACTATTCCCAGCACAGATCCCCCCCAGTACAGTTCCCACCCCAAGTACAGGTCCACCCACTCAGTACAACTCTCCCCCCTCAGGACAGCTCTGCCCCTCAATACAGCTTCACCCATTCCTCAACCTCCCCCCCCCCAGTACATCTCTCTTCCATAAGGCACACTTACCTGAGCAAGGGCAGTTCAGAGTAAGGGAAGTTCTCCCTCAGCTGTGGGTCATGTGAGTGGAGCCAGAGAGAAACAGCCTCTCTTTCTCTGAAGTGGTAGGGTGCATGCTCACTCCTGTTTCAGGTCCCCTTGTGCCTGTCAGCGCTAGCTGCTGAGAATAATCTGGGGGGGGGGGGAGGTTTGAACACCCCCATCCCCCCTTATCTACACCACTGAGTAAGAGGAAGTATCCAACTGAGAACACTTGTTACAGTGACAGTGGGATTTTCCTTCCCTTTTTTTACTTTCTTTTTTTCTGTGGGGCAGGATTTGAGAGAAATCTGCTCAGTGATAACACAGCAACTGAAACTTGAAAAATATTTTAATGTTGATTCACATTAAAGGCCAGTTCCCACCAGAACAAGAAGCAGGAAACCCATGTGTCAGTGTCAGTGGGTGTCAGTGTTAACTCAATGATACCCCAAATGCAAGTCGTAAATGCAGTGCATTCTCCCCAGTACAGCTTTTCCCCCACAGTATATCTCTCCCCCACCACAGCTCTCCCCTCAGTACAACCCCCCCCCCAGTACATCTCCCTCAGTCAGGGGCGGACTGACAACTCATGGGGCCTCCGGGCAATAGGGGATCATGGGACCCCTGTGTCTTTGCCCAAACTCAAAAAAGCATATGAAAAAGGTACCAGGGGCATCTCATGGGGCCCCCTACTGACCCTGGGCCCTCGGGCAGTGCCCGAGTTTCCAAATGGTCAGTCCACCCCTGCCCCCTGTACAGCTCTGTCACCTAAGAACAGCTGTCCACCTTATTACGGCTCTCCCCCAGCACAGATCTCCCCATCATTACAGCAACCCCCAGTACAGCTCCCCCCCCCCCCCATTACAGCTCTCCCCCCTCAGTAGAACTATTCCCAGCACATTATTGTATTGTACATCGCAGGGTACAAAAGATGGTACAATACAATCTTTATATTCAATAAATAAAATTAAGCATATTAGTAAATCAACTCCTAAATAAGCACTTTAACTGCTTTTTGGTTTTATATGGAACCATTTACTTTTATACTCTTAGGGGTCTATTTTTAAACCATTCATTGCACAAATGTCAGAAAGATTCCTGTAAGCTGAACAAAATGTCACTGTATGTGTTCATCAATTCTATCTAGTGGCTGAATGTGGTATATTTTCTCATTGATGCATTTTAGGACATTATACTCCATATTGGCCACTAGATGGGGCTGATGATACAGGAATGAAAATATTTGAATACATACAGTGACATTTTGTTCAGCTTGCACAAATGCTTCTGACATTTTGATTGGAATGGTTTATAAGTAGAACCCAGGGGTGGACTGACAACTCATGGGGCCCCTGGGCAATAGGGGATCATGGGGCCCATGTGTCCTCGCCCACACCCAAAAAAGCCTATGAAAAAGCCAATGAAAGGTACCAGGGCCATTTCATGGGGCCCCCTACTGATCCCAGGCCCTCGGGCATTGCCCGAGTGCTTGAATGGTCAGTCCGCCCGGTAGAACCCCTTATTCTTTTATACTCTTAAATTAGAATACATTTTACAAATGCCCTTTACAGGTCACTAACCAAAATGCAGATTTAATAACATTATTCCATAAACCATGATAAGTTATTTTAGGATCTTACCATATGTACCACTGATTTATCCATTCTGTCTTGGAGCAGCTGCAGCCAAGAGTAGAACAATTAGTTTAGATTTGCTTTAGAAGACATGGCACATGATGAACAGAATTAAAAGAGATCACTTCACCTACTGCACATGGAATCTTCTTCCTCTACAAAGGAACGTAATGCAAATACAAGAGAGTATACAAATGCATATAACACCTGGATTAGAATATATTATCATAAGGTCTGTCGTCTTTGCAACTTCATGTCTTTGGTTATACAGCCTGCAAATCACAAGTTATTTTTTTAAAGTAAACCCGCTGTGACAATAAAGTTAATGTGACTTACTAATAGGTAACTACAAGGTCAGCACATTCCCTAAGATGCATGCCCAGGGTCCCTCGAGAGCCCTAAAAACACAGAGTTTTATTATGCAAACGTTGACTTTGCCAAGAAAGTCAAGCTGTGGCCCATCCCCACCTGTGCTTCACTATTGGTCAGTGAGCCCACCACTCTAAGGACAGTTTAAGCAAAACATATGCGCGTGCAACTACCATGCAAGTAATAAAGCAAGTTATTTAGGAATGGATTGCAACAGCATGTCCCATATTTGCATTGGAATTAATTTTCAATGACACCCCAATTCACAAACATGGAAAAAACAAACACAATTGGCTCTCAGCTTACAGTGACACGTTATAAAGTGACACATGTAATCTGCTCATCTTAAATCAGTTATTTCTTTTATTTTACTCCACATAGTAACAGCAGATAATTTTAATATGTTACCTGTTATTTGTATTATTTAGGGACAATTAAAATTCATTTTTTATTTAAACACTGGCATGATAGGATTGTTTGGTATAAATAACTGTAGGTTACTCACTGCTTTGAGTTCTCACAATCCGAATCGCATGATCCCTGACAAATCTGAGAAACAACCATAAGTAGTAGTTACATGTCAACCATTAATTCTACAGCCAAACAAAATGCTGCATATATACTGTATGTGTAACATGTTACCGTATATGTTCACTTATGTCCAGATGTAATATGTTGTTGTGGGTAAGTCACAGGTCCACTTTAAAAAGATAGCTTTGCATT